GGAGAAGTATATTTCCTTCACGGCCGCGCCATAGCTCAAACGGTTCAGTATTCAGTATTAGAGGGGGTGGGTTTCCCCATGCACGGCGACTAGTAGTCTATTGTACGTCCCCCTTTAATTTCTACTGTCGCCATACCCTACCGGTACTGGTGCTCTCTATCTCCCCTTTCTGCCAGCGAGGTCGGCCCTCTTCTGGCAGTGGTACCCGATAACTTCCCCATCTACCGGAGGCATTGGGGACTACTTGGACGGGAAACGTTTTGCCTAATTTTGCTCACAGGTCTCCTAGAAACATGAGGATCTTTTACGTGCCGTAAATCTACGACACGGGACCCACGGCTTGAAGTCCCTCCCGGAGGACTTGTTCCCTGAATTTTTCCGCCGGGTTTGAACCCGCCTACCTTGAGTCATGAGGTGGGAACGTTACCCCTAGACTATGGAGGCCGCTNAAAAGTTTTAGTCGTTGATGTTTCGGCAGGAGTACTGTTAAGTTACCACGGGGAATTAAGTTACTCTCTCGACGTAAAGCAACCAGTTTGCTGTTAACTTTGTGCTACAACAAAGTTAGCACGTGTCTCAGATGCAACTAATTCGAAGAGAAAATAGGAGCGACGCAGTTCGCCCTCGTTTCAAGCAGATAACTAGAATACACTTGCTTCAGTTTCGGCAAGTTCTGTGAGCTGCTTTGTTCATGTTTCCGCGAAGTAGTCATCACAATGCTGTATAGGCATCAAAACTTCTTTTCAGGATCTAATGGTTTTTTTTTTCAGTTATTCTCCTTTCGGTTTGTGTTTTCACGCTATTCTCGGTCACGTGTGTTCACCCATTCCGTCTAAGTGACAGCTCCCACCTCTTCCTGAATGTTCTAACGCGTAATTTTTAACTACATTATTAATTAAATTTATCCTGTACTTCAGCGAAACTTCTCGTCCAATCGCTCATTTTCAGCTGATGGTTCTAAAGCGTTTTCTCGTTACGGCCAGTTGTAGTCTTTTTGCCTCTTGATTACTTTACTGCTGTTTCGTTGCTGTATTTGACGTCTGGCCTACCAAGTCTATTTAGCCTGATTTACTTCTCGGGCCTTCTCCTTTAAATTTTTGAACAAATAGACCAGTTAACACGAAGTTTGCTATTAAGTTCTTGCGATCTGATACAGTGTCCTAGAATTTTGTACGAGCGTGGTATGGATCTTAGAGAAATATGCAGGTTTGTTTGCAGTAGCTGTTTTTAACAATGTAAAACGACAACAGGAATTCTTTTATTTAGCTATCAGTTAGACACGTATAACTAATGGAAAATTGGGCCTATTAATATATGACAATTTATAGACTATAAACGTTCCTAAGCCGGTTACGGTAGCCGAGCGGTCTAAGGCATGTACTGTCTTCGCTCGCTTGGAAACCGGGATCGTGGGTTCGAATTCCACTCAGGGCATGGATGTTTAGTTTGTGTGTGTGCGTTTTTCTGTGTTTGTGTACACGTAGAGGCCTTGCGACGAGCTGATCACCCACCCAAGGAGTCCTACCGAATGTGTAAGATCTAGAAAAACCGAAGTGAACGGAGAAGTTCATGGAGGTAGGCCTAGGCCCACTGGGGCTGTAGTGCGAAGGAAAAAAAAACGTTCCTAAAAGTTACCTATGAAATGTTGTTTGTACGTCAGTTCACTGAATGTCTCTGATGGATTTCGACTCTCGGCAATGGCAAGAAATTTTCTCTTCTATACGGCGTCTGTGGCTGTGGGTTCCACCCAGTCTCTTATCCGATGGGTACCCCGGGCTTACTCCCCGGGTGTAAAGCGGAAGAGGCGTGAAGCTGGCCTCGCATTTCCACCTACTGCTGAGAATGGTGCAGCTATAAATACGCGTTCATGGCGCGCTGCTTAGTTAATTAAGCACGGTTAAAACTTTGATACAGGCATATCGCTGTCGGGTCAGTAGCACTCCTGCATCGTATTCCGAAGGCACGATATTCAAATTTCGGACTGGAGACCGGCTAGTTCGATTGTGATTTTTCGTGGTTTTCCTCGATACTTCTAGGAAAATACCGGAACAATACCTCTAGGACGACTGGTTCCTTCCATATCCCTTCAAATTTATTATAGTATATAATTTTTTTTCAGTTTTTTGGGATGGGGTGAGACACTCCACTTGGTACAGCTGCCACTAATTGGTCTATTGTAACAGCCCCGGATGATAGATGATGTTGAATGTGAAGTAGTCGGTGGAATGAGAATTGACAGGATAGCATGAAGTACTCGGAGAAACCTGCCCCAATACCACTTCGTCCACCACAAATCCCACTTGACCTGGTCTGGTCTCGAATTCGGGCCGCTGTGCTGGGAAGTCAGCGACTAACCGCCTGAGCTATGCCACGGCCCTAATTCATTTTTCCTGATTATCCTAGCACTGGACACTATATAATGTTATCTGCTAGCAGCGTTGTTAAATAAACCACAACTAAACATAGCTTTATTAACAATTGCAAGAACGAGGACAGAGAAACTATCGAGGTTATATCCAACAAATGTAACTTTGAATTCGAATATGCATCGTGTAATAATGAACTACTAATATAACATCGACAATAGCAATAGAAACTACAACAATACGCTACATGTCTATCATTACTAGCAACGAGAATGTTTGATTCGAATATGATTTAATTCTACGACTGTCTGTGCAGGAACCCAGGAAGTTAGCCCGTGAAGTAAGTTCTATTTGACAGCAATTAAATCACTGTTTTAACCTTCCGACATCCCCACAGCAACCGACCCCTGGACATTTTTTTAAACAGTTGATTTGCGATTAGCGCTATTTCAGTAAAAATCACTTATTCAATTTCATATTTAAAGCATCGTAAACTTATTTTAAAGTGTTCATTTTCCTCAAGCGCCCGTTAAATTCCAGCTCAGTCTAATTCCCATATATTAAACCCTTCTGACTCTTGAGATCTAGGATTCGATTCTCGCTCGAGGCGTGCATGCAAGACTGTGTTTCTGTGTGTTATCATTCTTGTGTAGTTACAGACCTTGCGATAGGCCGATAACCCATCCAAGGAGCCATACTAAATGCTGAAGGATTCATATTCCTAGGCCGATCACAGTGGCCGCTCGGTCTGAGGCATGAACCACTCTTCGCTCGCTCGAACGCTGGGATCGTGGGTTAGAATCCCACTCAAGGCATGGATGTCTGTATTGTGTGCGTTTGTTCTGTTTGTGGGCAGAGGCCTTGCAACTCGCTGAGCCAAGGTCCAAGTAGCTCTACCGACTGTGTATAGCGTCAAGAGACTAAAANAAAAAAGCGGCCAAGGCCCAACAAAGGGCCATAGAGAATAATAATAATAATTCATATTCCCAGAATTAATTAGTAATCTTACTAAACAGACCAAAAGGTACACTGATGTACGCTGAAGAACTGTGTAGAATAATCGCTACCGAAACTGTTGTGTAGTGCAATGTGACACGAGGAATTTGGCTGAGCGCATCAAATTGAATTCGAATTGTAGGTTTGGTTCCGGGGTGATAATCTTGAAGATCTCAGTCCTTCCAAACAAATGTTAAGCTAATCTTTACACTTGAAGACTGCACATCATTGCTTACCACTACTTACAATGCGTATTTAAGGAGATCCACTGTAAGAACCGAAGCTTATGACGAAGTCAACCGACGCCCCTGTACCTGACGATCAAAATGGATTTGTGGAACGCTTTCTCGATAAATGAATTATTTCCTCTTTCATGTCAGGATTTTGCAGGGCCACGCCCTGGTCTTTATTTAACGTGTCCGTGAAGTTCAACACCCACNCCCCCCCCACACACACACACTAAGGCCATCAGTATTGACATGACATGTACAGCCAAGTTCACCTGAAAGTAAGTTTTTCTCAGTCATTAAGGAGAAATAGGTAACCTAGGATGTCGCATATTGGACTGTGTTAGTGAAAATAACGTATACGAGTATACCGCCTGTCTTACGAACTGTTCCGCGCATTTCAAGGAAATTAATATATGTTGTTCATACCATACTTAATTATGTAAATACAAAAGTTGGGAATGTGTTCGGTTAAAATGGGAGTCCTATCCAGCATCGATTCCTGTAAAAATTGTGATTTGATTGTTAGTAAAATGCCCATTCTGAACAGACGAAATGGAAAGAATTTTTTTCTGTGCAATGAAATAACTAAATTGATTAAATCAATTTATACACATAATTAGGCATTTTATGTATAAGTTTAACCAAAACCTACACAGCCGTTGAATTCTACCATTTTTAAAATATGGTCTTTAATATCGTCCTCTACCGACTCACACTTAAGACAGCCGTAAAATTCTTCTCTAAACTGCTAACATTATTACGGACCAACAACTAATAAACATAATTTTTCGCAATTAGCTTTCCGTTTCATATTGGCGTCTTTGAGCAGAAGTCTAGATAATTATGAATTTGACAGTACGTAATATTTTAGCATCACTGAGGTCACAAAATATTCCCGGAATTTATAATTAATACTATTATATATAGTATATACGTATAAAGAAAAATAATTTACAAATTTTAAGGTTATATTTTTTTGCACAAGACTAAAATAAATTTATGTACTTAATGAATTCAGTAAGCGGCCTCCGTAGTCTAGGGGTAACGTTCCCACCTCGTGACTCAAGGTCAAAACCCGGCGGAGGTCGTGGAATTTTTAAGGGCGGAAAAATTCAGGGAACAAGTCCTCCGGNATCATAGGGGGACGCACAGTGGACCAACAGTTGGCCTAAGTGCATGGGGAAACCCACCCTCTCCAGTACAATACAATACAATACAATAATGAATTCAGTAACAGTTCATATCCTAATGTGTTAAAGGTAAGTTACAAGGGAGCTTCTTTTGTCTTTGGACCCGATAACTTTCTTATCACTTAGTATATTTTGGATATGGCTTTGTGTAGGATTGTTGTGAGATTAACTGAAGTGGGTCTTATCTTGGAACTTACACGACCTCTCACAGTGCTTACATTGCATCGTTGGTGCGGCCTCGTTGCGAGGGAGACCCGGGAGCAAAGAACGAGCTCCCGCACTGCCCTGCGGAAGTTGCGGGTCATGAAACAGTAGAGGATCGGATTGATGGCGGAATTAGCATGGCCGAGCAGTAGAGCAAAGGAGAAGAGTTTTATGTTCTTGTTGACGCCCAAGTCGAACAGGAGGGCCAGTACGTTGTACGGCAGCCAGCAGAAGGCGAAGAGCACAGCCAGCAGTAGCAAAATACGGGCTACACGTCGCCTTTCCCGGACGAGTCGTGTGCACTGCGAACAGGGAAAACGTGAAAACCAGAGACAAACCACGACCATATTTATGCAAAAAAAAAAAAACAACACAGATATGTCGTGCAGTTCTCGGCCTCTTTGGAGTATGTACCTATTCATTGAAGTTTTGGCAACAAAGGAAAATCAATTTCTAAACAAGGTCTGATATTTGTAATAAGAGACAGTAGCCTCATGAAGGTGGAAATATTTTAATAAAATATCGCAGGTCAGCTCCAGGATTGTTGAACGCACTCCCAGCCGTTAAATGGGAGATATCAGCTGTGGAACTGATGGATATCTAATTCTGCATACTGACAAATAGCCTCCGAATCTGAAGGCCTGGCAATATGCAGGTTTTTGCAAACAGATTTATTGTTGCATTTTCCCACTGAAGTAATCTCAGCAGTAAAAAGTACTTACCTGTCTTGTACTGGCCATGCCCTCGTTGCCAGGCCCATCGAAAGGTGGGCTGATGGCGCAGAGGCGGAGACCCATTAGAGAATAGGCAAGCACAACCACAGAACCTGGTATTGCGTACACGAAAACAAAGCAGAGCACTCCATAAACAAGCCGCTCCTGGTTATCCGGCCACTTCTCAATGCAGAACCCTGGCAGGTTTAGGTTAGGCTCGCCAATGTCAATCATTTCTACCTGACGCACCCAGATCACAGGTGCGAATATACTTAGAGCCACGATCCACAAAATCACTATCACCTGGAACAGAGAGCCACGTGTGAGGCGCTCGGGATTAATGACAGGCCCAAATAAACGGAAGTTCACAAAATGTTTCTGGTACAAATTTACACTCTCAGTGCTATAAAAAGAGCATGAATTGCTAGTGTTTGTTCAGAGTTCTGGGGAAAAGACGATTGTGATGTTTTGGGTTGTAATATATATCAGATTGATTGAAGTCCACCAGCGTTTCAGAGGAACGCTTGGCCTCCGTTTTCAGGGCCAAAAAGTAGGAAAAGCAAGAGACCTGAGAAATCAGGCGGCAAGCAGAGGTAGATTCCTACCGAACTACACGGCAATACAAACCAGAACATCATATTCTCAGAATAAATTTTGAATGTAAGAAGGATTTGATGACAATAAAGTTACATAACAAGGAACTTTGTGACATATATAGTTATCTAGCATTCTACGAGATTACAACTGGATTGTCAAGAACAGTGGTGAAAAGAATTTCGTATCCAATCTTGGTGGAGAAACCTCTTGGGAATACAGAAAAATATGTGGAAGGACGAAGTTGATCTTCGGAAGGTATGTTGTGAGGCTGGAAGATGGATGGAATCAACTGGGGGTCGTTTTTCTTTTCTTTGTACCCTACAGTTGATAAGCTTGAGCGAAATATAGAAACATTTGTTTGGCGACTTTAGATAAATGTCGTTGCTACTTTTGAAGATAGCGAGTCGTGTTGCGGGCAGAGCTGATATGTTCAGATCCAGATGCCTTCTTGTTCTTCTTCTTCTTCTTCTCCTCCTCCTTCTCCTTCTTCTCCTCCTCCTCCTCGTTCTCCTTCTCCTCCTCCTTCTTCTTAATAATAATAATTATAATTTGGCACTAACTTCGTCGAAAAGCGGCGGTCGCTCGGTCGGTATAGTTCGCTTGCGGACCACAACCACGGAGTTTTCTTTTAATAATGTCCATAACTGTCAGTATTAAGCCTTGCAAAACTGTCTTCAAACCGAGGAAAGGAAGAACACTTTTTGAGTTCTATCCACTGAAAGAGGGAACAGGCTTTTGTATACAGAATATTCAGGGTAAAACTGGTTTAACTAATATTTCAACACATAATCATGGGACGAGACAGATTACTGAAAGGTCATTTGTACTGGTATATGTTTATTACACTTGGCAGCTGGCCTCAACCAGAGAAGATGCAATATGGCGGAACTCGTTGTCTGATTAGAAGTAATTCTATGCTAACATGAAATAACTACTTCATGCGGGCTTTTAGCGCGTTGCAGCGGTTTCGTTACTCTTTTTTGAGTAGGGTGACTTAATTCGTAGACACTCTAACCAACCAGTTTGATCAGCTGTAGTCTGTGAGTATGAAGAATACTTTTCGCAAAATGAAGTCTTGCCCCGTCTTCATCATTACGTTATGTTGCAGGACTTTCCGCTCTTCCAGCTTTACCACTGGGGCACACGGTAGCATAGTTGGTTGGGGCACTATGCTACAAGCTGGAAGGTCGCGGATTCGAGTCCCGATGAGGTGAATTTTTCAATTTTCATAATCCTTCCAGCCGCACTATGGTCCTGAGGTCGACTCAACCTCTAAGAGAAATGAGTATCATGAGTCTTCCTGCGGGATACAGAGCGGCCGGCGCGTGAGGCTGACAAACTTACCGCCATCTATGAGTCGATTGTCTAGAGAGAATGTGAGAGGCTCGATATCTCACAACTCTATGGACCTTCACGGCCTTTACTTTTTTTACCAGCCTCACTACTAACCAGGCTGACAGAACCGTCTTATATCTGGTTCGTGAAGGATGGAGTTGCAGTTTACAACGTGCACGTTGGAATCGGTCGCACACTGGTATCATGTGTGCTAGTAGAGCTCTATGCACGTCTGTTTGCCTCGGACTCCTACACATTGCTCATAATCATCTTGCTGTCATGCGTTACATAACTTATGCAGTCGACAGCTTGTATTTAAACGTGTTTAAAAAAAGAAGTGGAAAAAATTTGGTATTCTTTATGTGGTATAATGCAATTTTCGATATTTCATTCTTACCTTTCCTTTGGTTTCATGATGTCAATGGAAATTTTACGATCTTTTTAAAATATTAACTTTTTCTAATTGACCAGACTTATAGGTTGTTCCCACTGTGCGTTACAACACGTCGTCATGAGATGCCGCGATGTTTGGTTCCGAGGTTTATAGTGCAGGAATTTTTGCTTTTAAGAGAATGTGACCTGAGGCACTCTCTCTCCTGCCCGACACATAATTCTGAAACTGTGAAGAATCCGCTAGAAATTTGATACCAGCTGTGACCGCTCCTTTTGAGATCAATTTCTTTTTTCCTTGGCACTACAGCCCCAGTGGGCCTAGGTCTACCTCAATGAACTTCTCCGTTCACTTAGGTTTTTCTAGATCTTACACATTCGGTAGGACTCCTTGGGCGCGTGATCAGCTCGTCGCAAGGCCTCTACCTATACACAAACACAGAAACACGCACACACACAAACTAAACATCCATGCCCTGAGTGGGATTCGAACCCACGATCCCGGTTTCCAAGCGAGCGAAGACAGTACATGCCTGAGGTCCATTTACCCTACAAATTTTGTTTAATTTCTAATTTCAGGCGGTACAATTTTAGTAGGCGTTTCTGAGGAAGTGATGTACTCGTAATTCAACTGTTACGATCGCTGTGTTGTGAGATGTGCCGACGTCACATGGGCTGGTATAACGTTATCGGACTTTTCAGAAGAAAGTGTTGCCTCTGTCTTCAGGATAAAGGGTCTTCCACTCTTCTTCCTTGAAGATCTAGGCAACACGTTTTTCCGAATCATCTGTAACGGTATACCAAACTACACGGCTTCACATTTCAGAAGACAGTCATGTCCAGTCACAACCATGGAAGCCTCGAATCTCGCACAATTAATCCTTTCCTTGCCTGTAGATAGAACTTGAGAAAACCTGATTACGGACGGGTTCGGTTCTAGGAATTAGCTTTGCTCTTATTCTAGAGCGACTTGGAGAAGGGAGTTCATTTACAGACCAACCATACTAGGCTTACTTAACAAACTGACCACGACTTGATCACGATGGCCTTGACTTATGTAAAATTAACTCCAATTTCTAGCTTGCCGTAAGATACGGTAAAGGTAAAGTAAAGGTAAACTTGTCCATGTGTTTAATGCATTAACTGTACCACACCATGGATATCTCAGTCGGTGTAGCGACGGGCTGCGGGCTGGACGGCCGGGGTTCAGTTCCCGTCAAAAGAAATACATTTTCTCTACTCCACTGCATTCAGACAGGCTCTGGGACTCATCCAGCCACCTATACAGTGTGTACCGGGGACTCTTTACCCGGTGGTAAAACGGCCGAGGCGTGAAGCTTACCACTCACCCCTACCTAGTGCCTTGGTCAAGAACAGTGAATCTATACATCCACACCCCCATATGTCTTCATGGCATGGTGCTTAATTAGGTAAGCACAGGGACAACTTTATTTTTACTCTACCTTTACCTTACTCCAGAGCATGCATGTTCAACTTCAAACAGGTTGTAATCGACTTTTTAGTGTCAAAACTGCCAGTGATCTACCACCCCCTCCTATCGTCGTACCTCGCTTTAAGCAAAAATATATTGGTAAAAGTAACACGACACATGATGTCTGTTGTAACAGCAACTAGTAACTGGGCTGTGTCTCTGATGTCTGTAGATTCAGCCAGTTGGAGGGAGACAGCAACACAAATGGAAACATCTTTCAGCAACTGTTCGGTTATGTTTCCACACATCATTTCTATTCGCCGCACAGTGGTGTTTCTTGATAACTGAAGATCTTGAATAATGATCTCTTTCTTATTTTTAAATTCTTCAAAATAATATCAGCTATTTGAAGAAGACACTTTTACAAATTCCCCTTCAATGAAAGGTTGGCATTTATTTAACGATCAGATTGCTGACCTTGAAGGATGATTTGGTTGCATTGTTAGAAAGTGACCTTGGTTTTGCCATCAACTGTTGTTGAGTAGCTAATTCGATTTAAGTTCTTTGAGCTTCAGTTTACGAATTTTACTTCTGGGTGGAAAATCAGCATCATACTTATTGCTATGGAGAGCATTATAATGACGTTCCAGATTACCCTTTTTTGGCAAGGATACTGAGGCGTTGTATTTTCCACTATATTGAGGTAACTGTTTTATCTGGCACACGCACAGGCACAAAGACACTTTCCAAAGTAATAAAATAACGGAAGCAGAGCACTTACTGTCCCTTTGATTACACTGAGCTCTACCCCAAACTATATTTGTTTAATGCACAGCAAAGCGACAAATCTCCACTAACAGCTAATATAATAATACGTCTCACTTCTTAGTTCAACGTAAGGGGATTCACAGTTGACTGGAGGGAAGGAGGGAAGTGAATCGCACGTTCTGTCGATCACTCTTGCATCAAAACACACGCGGCTGACGACGAATGATGAAATAAGAGTTCACGTGATAAGGATAGAGTAGGGACTTCCCCACAGTTCACCTAACACAAGTGTAAATCAATTTTCATGTAGCTACGTAAAAACAGAAAAATAAGAATGACTAATACATATTTTCCCTTCAAAATCTGAATATAATCATATTATATTACAAGTGAATTTACATTCTTTTCACGTATAATTTCCATATAGGCCCATGAGATCGACTAAAAATCGTCCCGCGATCGACGCGTTGGACATGCCTGCTCTAGAGCAACTTCGAGAAAGGAGTTATCTTTATTTAAGTTAAGGATATCGTGGTCATACCGTGATCAGTTTTTTTTAAGTAGGCTTAACACGTTTCAAACGTAAATTAATACTGAAGATTTAGATAAAATAAGATTGTCTGGGTTCGATTCCAGGCATGGAAAGATTTTTCTCTCCTCTACAACATCCAGACCGGCCCACTCAGCCTCCTATGCAATGGGTACCAGGACGATTTCCAAGGAGGTAAAGCGGCCGGGCGTGAAGCTGAATAGTGCCGAGGTTGAGAATTGTTGAATCATACCTCCATTCCTCGATATGTCTTCATGGCTTAGTGCTAAATTAACAAAAGTGACAAGTTATTTTTTTTTTATTAAATATGCTGTTTTAACATGTCATAAAACATACAAATTGTAATTAAAATAACTTCTGACACAAATTTAGCAGTTTCTGCAGCGAATTTTTTTGACTGCCTGAGCGAATGGTTGCCTTTCAAGAAGAACTTCTTTTTATGGCCTGGTTTATAAAATTAAAGTTTATGAAATCAGATCCTTCGTAAAATGGTCTTATTTGTTTCAGTTGGTTAGGTCGAAAAGGGAACATATCCAAAGTTCGGCCATTAGACATGGTCGTTTTAGCAGTTAATTGATTGGTTTGAATATTTCTGAAATATTGACAACTCACTTATAGCCGAAACTTTATAGAGATTCTACGTACAAAGAGAGTAGTAGTTCTGTTGAATATCTTCCGGAAAGCCATCGGATGTCGTATAGCGAGGTACCTGTCTATGCTCATTGCTGTGATGGTGAACACGCTGGCGCCAACGGAAACTCCTGAAATTAAAAAAAAATCTTAAATTCTGAAATTATTTTTATACCAGTACGTATAACATAGAAATAAACTTATCCATTCTTTTAATTTGTATCGTCTTGATTTTAAATATCGAATAGTCTAACGCCAATTGAGAACTAGTTGAAAAACTCATAACTTGTTATACAAATTTTCGTACTATTGACCAACTCTGCCTTTTCCCATAGTCTTTCTGCAGTGCTACATGCTATCATATGAGGAGAAATGTAGAGGAACCCTCTGTTGCATACGAATTCAGACAAAATGCAGATATTACAACATGCAAGTCAGAAGTAACTCTTTTCCTTTTCCTTTTCCTTAACAATTCACTACAGCCCAAAATTCTCGAAACAAAGTTTCACATTAAAGAAATATGTATTATAACAATACATATCTTTTATACGATGAAGGCTTTTAGAAAATCTATTACAATCAGTTTTATTTCTTTATAATACCCAATTGAACTCCTGTTTTAATACGGGGTTCAAAATAGTAACTGTGCAATCAGGGATTACATGTTATATTCTGCAATTGTTTATAAACTACACAAATTTCAATTTGAAGTTGGAGATGTATATTCAGGCAGTTCATCACTGACCTAATATTCGACATATAATGTTCGGTTTTCTTTGTAGCTGCTTTCAGTTCTGTATACTCAACAGCTGTAGGTTACTTAATGCATTTACAAGGCGCGCCATAGCTCAAGCGGTTAGTGGCTGGCTTCCTACCGCGGCGGCCCGGGTTCGACCCCGGGTCTGGTCAAGTGGGATTTGTGGTGGACAGAGTGGCGCTGGGGCGGGTTTTCTCCTAGTACTTCGATTTATCCAGGCAAACTTCATTCCACCAAATTCTTCATCATTATCACCCGGGACTGGTTACAATAGGCCAATCAGTGGCCGCCATGCCGAGTGGACCCAGTTGGACTCCACCCCCCACTAAGAGAATTAAAGAAAAATGAATTAATGCATTTGCATCTTTAGCTTCAGCTTCTTCGTGTGACGATCGATAGATTTCCTGTTATGCTTCGAGATTTGGCTTCCGTTCTCTCATGTAAGTATCGAGTAAAATCACAAATATTCATACTCTTTTATTACACTGATATCTGGTGCATCCCCTTCTGTACAATTAAATATTTCGCTGTTTTGTATGCGTCATTTTTTCGATATCTCGGAATAAATGTGACCCAGTTTTCCATGAGTGATGTTCTGTTTCATGTTTTCACTGGTTCGAACTCTCCTTATGTTCTCTCAAATTAGACTGAGCTTGATATAGTTTATACATTTGAGGTAAACTTCCTCGGGTACCTATACTACAAGCCGGAAGATCGGAAGTTCGATTCCCGACATGTCATTGAATTTTCCAATTGTCCCAATCCTTCCAGCCGCACTGTGGCCCTGGGGTCGATTCAGCCTCTAACAGAAACGAGTACTGGAATCTTCCTGGGGGGGTTAAGAGCGGCCGGTGCGTAAGGCTGACAGACTTACCACTGTGAGCCGATTGTCTAGAAAAATGTGGAAGCCTCTATATCTCAGAAACCTGTGGGCCTCGACGCCCTGTTACAAGCATGGTTTCACGTTTCCTACCTCTCCAAGAGAGATCAGATCACCTGGTCAATAATATATTAGTGTTCCCAGTTGAATTAACTTATCTTGCTTCGTTTTCTTATGCTTTAGTAATTCTAGCCAATCACGGTCTTGCGTTATCACGTTTAATTTGACGCTACGCACTATTTTCAGTTAGATAAAATATCGTCACAAAACCTAGAATTATTAATTATAAAGTGACTGGCTTTATTATTGTTCAGTTTAGATTTATAATATTTAGAAGACTTTATTATTATCATCGCTACACTCCACCTTTAAAATCACAATAGGAGAAATTTTATCTAACGTTACAACTATTCTTAATTTTCCCTTACGTATCGTTGTCTTTCCACCTAAACTGAACCATTACCTCGAAACGGAATCTTCGTGATCTGTTTTACGGAACATGAAACACGTGGATCACAGTGATCAGAATTCTATATGTAAATTGTAAATTCCATTGTTAAGGAATGTCTGCGCAGGTTGCGCCTCCCTAAAGTAATGGTATCCCTATAACAGGCCGTGAAGGCCCATAGGGTTGTGAGATGTTGAGGTTCCCACATTTTCTAGGCAATCGGCTCACAGTTGGCGGTGAGGTTGTCAGCCTTACGCACTGGCCGACCTTTAACCCCAAGAACATTCCAAGAATTTTCCTGTTCCTCATTTCTGTTAGAGACTGAGTCGACCCCAGGGTCATAGTGCGGCTGGAAGGATTAGATAAATTGAAGAAATTCAGTTACCTCATCGTGATTCGATCCTGCGACCTTTCGGCTTGTAGCAAAGTGCCTCAACCAACTACGCGCTCCCGTGTCCCCAGATTGCGCCTCCCAGATAATCTAACTTTTGTAGTCGGTCCTTCGGTTTCAGCAGTAAGCAATAGCTAGCCGGTTACGGTAGCCGAGCGGTCTAAGGCGTGTACTATCTTCGCTCGCTCGGAAGCCGCGATCGTGGGTTCGAATCCCACTCAGGTCATGGATGTTTGTGTGCGTTTTTCTGTGTTTGTGTACAGGTAGAGGCCTTGCGACGAGCTGATCACCCGCCCAAGGAGTCCTACCGTATGTCTAAGATCTAGAAAAACCGAAGTGAACGGAGAAGTTCATGGAGGTAGGCCTAGGCCCACTGGGGCTCTAGTGACAAGGAAAAAAAAAACAATAGCTAATTTGCTGATTACTTTCTTCTCCGTAAGCCCCACTACTGAGGTTAACACTGCAAACTTCAGACATTAATACTATGTTTCACTTAACGGACGTTGCAGAGTTTCGAAGAAGATGCTTAGTAAACAACCATAGCTTCTTGTACCTCGCGGTATATACTATTACGAAACTTCGTAAAGCGCACAGCGATTCAGGTTCAGGGGTTCAGGGGTTCAGGGGTTTGCCATGAGTGACTGTTACAGACGAAATGCAATTACAGGTTATTTTATGAGCTGATGTACTACCGAGGTCTCTCCCTCATCACTCTGTAAATTAACTTTGTTTCACTGATCAGCTGTTTCGAGGGGGGGGGAAACGGCGGACTGTTCGGCGAAGATTTTTAAGGTATCGCTTTAAAATACGAAAGTAAGTTACAACAGCAGATAATTCTTTTTCGTGAGTGAACGTTTGGGAATTGTAAGACGTAATGAGAATCGCATTCATATAAAGACAGTGCTGCTGAGACTGTATAACAGAAACTAATTCGTTTGAAATACTCACAAACGTCGCATAAATTTCCAGTTAAAATTGTCAGTTATATGTGTAATTATACAAATTGCAAACATTAATGACTATTAGCGCGGAATTAATAAGTTAGCATATGATTGCAACTTATGCACTTTTACGGTGACATTGTAACAGATTTGATCAACGCGTTGTCAGGCAACAGCTCTGTAAACAAGGTCCAACAAGCAACAATAACTAAGGCTGTATTTTCTATGTCGTCCTCGTCGAACAGCGGTGAAACAACGGGGTCATGCAACCTGTTTCTAAGCAACGGCTCGGTAAACACACTTCCGCGTAAGAGGTGACGTCAGCAACAGCAGAGACGGTGTTTTCCGTGGGGTCTATGCAGAGTGCTTACAAGGAAGTGAATGCAGTGACAGAGTCAGTTCAAGGACAGTTACGAGCGTTACTAGTCAGCCGTAAGCTGGAGGAGTGAGTCCAGAAGAATTTTTAGTTCCAAGGTTCCAGAGTGATTGAAGGCGAAATAGCAAGAAGACTTCATAGTGATTTAAAGTTTTAAATTCTGTGTTGAGATCCCTTGCCAGGAGACGACTAGTGAAGACAGGGAATCCTCATGAGTGCAACGGTGAACTGGAAATCTTGTAAATCAGCGATAGCGCTGTGTTTAATTGTGATTAAGAGAACTTGTAACCAAGGCGCTAATAAATTCAATCATCGGAACTAGAACCCGTTATTTTCGTCACCCGTTCCACCCTACACGGGACAGTATGTTTAACGACACTATGTCAGCTGCTTAGATCATGTAACGCTGATATTGAAGAGGCTGGAAGTTATGGATATTTGGGATGGAATACTCTTTTTAACATAATAGTCCTGTGCTTGTCTTTAAGACCCGAATAATAGTAAGAAATATTTCAGTCGAGATCACCAGTATCCGGGGTAATATTCGAATCAGAGACCTCCCGCATACGAAATACACTTAAACATGAGCACGAGAACCTACACACACTGATATGAAGTTTCTTGGACAGCGTCAAATAGAATTATATTTTGAGGCGATGTATGTAGCACGAATACCGTTCACAGTCGTCGCGCGGTCTGATTCATGAACTGTCTTCGCTCGCTCGAAAGCTGAGATCGTGGGTGAAAATATCACTCAAGGCATGGATGTCTGTGTGCGTTTATTCTGTATGTAGGCAGGGGCCTTGCGACGGATTGATCCCCTGTCCAAGGACTCCTACCGACTGTGTGTAGGATTAAGCAACTGAAAAAGCCTCCAAGGTCCAACAAAGAAAAGTAGAGCCATAGACAGATAGAAGTGTAGCACGAATGGGAAAGTAAGAAAGGATGTATTTTATTAGAAACACTTTAAGGAATGGTATTTCTTGTGAAATCTAGATACTTAAATGTGGGTGGAAGAGTAGTATTAAACTGGATCTTCAAGATATGCAGCTTTACTGGATTCAGCTGTCTCAGGTTAGAGTCTAGTGGAGAGCTCTTGTAAGCATGTCGATTAGCCTTCGGTTTCCACACAGCGCAAAGAAATGCCATAAGTCTCGGTTTCTCAAGGACTATGATCTATAGCGTTAGCTGTTCTTACTTTTACAAAAGAAAAAAATGCATGTAATTGTATGGCGGACTAAGTAGCTAAGCGGCTACAGTAACTCCCATGCACAAAATATTCCTTGAGCTGCTTGTTAAGTACCATGTGTTTTTCCTGAATTTAAATTCCTATCACTT